GTATTACTGTCTTTCTTCTTTGGAGCACAAAAGAAGATGAAAAATGTATTGATGCTTTTTGTCTATACAATGAAAGTCAATGGGGTCCAATGTTGTGTGTGCCACAATTGTCTTCTTTTTGTGTGTGTTATTTAGAAGAAAGAAATGCATATATATATATATATATATATATATATATACATGCATGCATACATACATACATACATACATACATACATACATACATACATACGTGCATACTGGGAAACATTGACTACGTTTAGATGTGCACCAATAATGCTTTTTTTTTTTTTTACAAATCAGAGTAAGGTCTTAATCGCAGTAAGATGTTTACAAGACACTAGCAGAACTGTTCACTCCAGTTTATGCCACATAGTTTAATGCGAAATTGTGAATATACCACAATTATGGCTTAATCGCATTAATTTGATAGTAATGCGTTTACATGAGGTAAAGTTTAATCGCAATATTGCCAAAATCCCATTATGATCGCATTATGAGGGTGCATGTAAACACACATGAATGATTAGCATTTCATAAGTTTTATTGTTTTTATTGAAAGAAACATTCAATATATGCAGAGAGTCAATATTTACAGTGTTGACCCTTCTTCATAACTTGTGGGACGTCCTGAAGCCTTCTTCACTGCAGTTAAAACTTACTTTCTCCCTGAAGGTCTTGATGATCCAGTAAATTGGTTCTTTCAGGTGCAATATTCTCTGCAGCAATTTCCTTGCGTGTGAGGCCATTTTAATACAATGCAATGATGGCTGCAAGTCTTTCTTTGGAGGTAACCATTGCTAACACGCGTACACAATGATTGGATGCACCACTTCTGGTCATTTTGTTCCAGGGCCAAAAATGTTTTTTATTTATTTTTATTTATAATTATTTAATGTATATGATCACTCTGCACAGTAAGCTAGAAACGATGAACACCATGACAACTGAAGCAGTAAAGTTTGCGAAACACAAAATGTATGGGATTGTAAACACACCCACGCACTCTCTCTCTCTCTCTCTCTCTCTCTCTCTCTCTCTCTCTCTATATATATATATATATATATATATATATATATATATAATATTTATTCGAATAGTTCTTTGAATAGTGGGAATTTTCCTGTCATATTCTTAATTTTAGTGCTTTCTGCTCGGATGGCACGCATATGTGTTTCTTCGTATTTCCTTCGGACAGGGAGGCATTGGCTTTTAAAGGCTCTCAGGAGTGCCTGACAGACAAAGTGCTTTCTCCTCAGTCTTAGGAACAGGACTATGTGGGCGTACGGCTTTGGGGTTTATAACATGTAACAAGAAAGGCTGGAAATGGGGTTTAGTGGAAGGATAAAGTGTAGATGTGTGACATAGTAAGAGAGGGAGAGTGTTTGTGTATGAGTGGGCGCACATACTCATATGCATGGGGATGCATGTGGCCCTCGGCAGAAGTGGTCTAATCATTGATTTGATGTGAACTGGCAGTTTGATGCATCCTAAATCAGACAGGTAGAAACACACATCTTTGTCAGTCATTTAATGAGTAGCATTAGCTTAGAGATACATGCTGGTTGAGAAAACATTCATTCGGAGCTACGCTCACCAGTCAAGCATGGACTACAGAATAAAGCGTCTTCACTGAGCAAAAGCAAAGCCCTTAGCAGGATAATCTTAAGGGAATATAGTATGTTAGAGCACGGATGGATAAATAAAATTAGTAAGCTGCTGTCCTGCTTTGATGTTATGTGATCACATTGTACCACACACAGGGTCCAAAATGAACACTCACCAAAACCGCCCCAAGAAATTTCAATGACAGCTGGCTGGAGGAGAAATATAAAATATAACAAGAAGCGCTGCGTAATTCTCAGTATGCAAAAACTACACCAATGTTTGTGATAATAATTAGCCCTCAGTAGACATTCTAAAGGTGACCTGAGACAAATATTTCGTTAACTTGAAATTACTTCAGAATTTCAAGGTAAGATTTAGAATAACTTTTCACAGTCATGATGTAAAGTTGTGTACGTTTCTGTACAGTATATGCGACAGTTTTGTCACTGTAAGGCAAACACTGAGAACTAGAACAGGAAAAGCTAACAGGAAGGGGTAATGTTTAAGGTTGTGAAAGGCAGTCATTATCTTATGCTATCATGTCATGTTGTACCTAGTGTAATGGATGCATGTATAGTGAAGTCTGATCTCTCTGCAGCTTCTTGTACTGAGTTTATGGCAGTGGTAAAAAAAAATAGTTAAATGTCAAGGGCACCTCATTTCACACCACTTGCAAATGTCATTTAAATATAGATATGTGTAAATGTGTTCACTAAATGGACAAAGGTGTTTTATGTTCTCTCTTTCTTAATTTGCTCAGAACCATGTCCTTTCAGTCTGGCATTATTTTCTTTCTTACTAGAAACAAAAAAAATGCTAAGCAGAACACACAAGCAATTTATTAAACCAGGAAAATTAAAACCAGGACTGTGATTAAGGTAGGGTGATTAACACTGGAAAGCTAAAAAAAAGTGCACAATGCATTTATTATAAAATTAGTCTTGTGCTATATTCCAAGAATTCAGAAGGTTGCATACTAATCCAACTTGCCATGTTCGTTTGTCTGCTTAACATATCCTTTTATATTTCACAAAAGAAAGAAAATAATATAGGGCTCTGATAATTAAACATGTTTTGTGAGTTTTTGGTACCTTTAATTTGTATTGCATTTTTTGGATTATTTGCTCGGGGACTTTTTTTCTGTCTCAAATGGATTGGATTTACTCCTGTTATTCTGTAATACAAAATGTTAGATCCAGGTCATCTGTGTTGCAACAGTTCAATCAGGTGCTTTTTAAAGGTGCACTCTGATTTCTACTTAACACATAAAGCAATATGTGAGTACTTGAAATGTTTAAGCTCAAGTTTACTCCGATGAGCTGAAGACTCCTTCTAAAATCACTTGAACACCAGAATGCTACTGCCATGTTCCAGATGTTGTATACGGGAATACAGGAGTTAAAATTTCCCACTTCCTACCTCAGCAGATTAAAGTCAATCACAATTGTATACATTGTGTAGACAAAGCATGATGGCTCACCAAGACCATTTAGTTTTTAACTGCCAAGGTAAGATTATATATTAGTTTAATTATTATATAAGCTATATATGTTCCAGTATATAAATATATGCAAGTTATATTTTATGCCTTCTCAGAAATAGGCTTTTACACATTCTCTTGGTTCTGCTGTCAGCATTGCATATTTTTTGGTCATATATGACTAACATTTGTCTAATAATAATAATAATAATAATAATAATGATGCGGAATGATGCGTCTCACTCAAGTTGTTGTTGATCGATTTCAGTAACCTGACTGTTAATTGAGACTTTCACTTGTGGAATTAATTAATTATGGCTCATAGGAAATAGCATATTTGTACAGTTGTGTTGGTAACTACAAACTTTTGCGGGATGATACATCTGCACCCGCTAGGTGTCAGTATAAGTCCAAGAGGGCTGCCATATCAGCCAGCACAACTTAAACAAGAAAATATGGAGTACACCTTTAAAATTAGTTAGAACCAGCAGGAAACAATCCAGCATCTCTGTTGTCTTTGAATATTAAAGTGTTATCCACTCCATTTAATTACTACGCTTTATTGTTGCACTACAGTCTATTTTAAAAATACCACCCATTAGACACTGCACACAACTCCTAATTCTTACCATCCATTAATTTAACTTGTTTTCTCTCCCTCTTCCAGTTCTCACAGTATCTTAGACATGAGGAGGGGTTACATGATTGACAGTCCTGAAAGAGTTATGCTGAGACTCACTTTGTTTACAGCAGTCAGTAATCTCTTTTCTGCTAATACTGCAGAGCACTGACACGGATCTCTTTATTTCTATCCCGTATCTTGTCTTTCTCTCTCTTGCCCTCTACTTCTCTCATTTTCTATCTCATCCTGCTGTGAATGCTTTCTCAACTCTTGTACTTATCTCTCCTTGTTTCCCCCCTCCCTCTCTCTCTCTGTGTCTCTCTCTAAAGGGGTGGGGAATGTTCTTGTGAAGAGAGCAGGTGCAGTGCCGCCTCCTCTCTCTCTCTCTCTCTCTCTCTCTCTCTCTCTCTCTCTCTCTCTCTCTCTCTCTCTCTCTCTCTCTCTCTCTCTCTCTCTCTCTCTCTCTCTCTCTCTCTCTCTCTCTCTCTCCTGGCATCAGCAGTAGGGGAGAGTAGAAGGCTGTCTGTGTATGTGTCTGGCTGCAGTGTCGTAGGCTTGAGCCACGTTAAAATCCCACAGGAGATTAGAGCGGGAACACACGCTAGTCCGGACTCTTTAGACATGGCAGCCCTTGGAGGGAGCAACAGACAGGCAAAACAAATACAACCGTAATGAGGAAAGGATGAATGTTGTCTCATGGAAAATCTGTATACTGTCTTTTTTTAACCCTTCTCTTTTTTCTTTTTCTGTCCGTCTTCGACAAGCTCACTCCTCCCTCCCTCCCTCCCCTCCTCGCGCTGCTCCTCTCCCTTTCTCTCTCTTTCTCTCTCTCTCTCTCTCTCTCTCTCTCATTCTCTCTTGTGCGCTCTCAGTGGAGGAATGTAGATAGAGGCTGAGCGTATGCCCACTGCTTTGCACGATATCAACGGCTCACTCTACGGCAGTGGGTCGCTCATCAGGCACTGTTCAGAACGGATTTGCACTGCTAACGGATTTAATCATCCACCGTCTCCTCTTGGACAACTCTGCACATGCCACTGCCTCCTCTACCAGGTTTATTGCTCAGCTTTCATGTACTGGGTTCGTGCTGCAGGTCCCTTGCTCCCTTAAGGATGCTATAATTCATCAGGAGCTTGGCTTGTGGAAAAGGGGATATTACTTCATGGTCAACGGTGAGTCCTCTTGCGTGAGGGAACCAGCTTCCTGGGATATGTATAGCTGACTCAGCGCTCAAATACAAGTCAGATCGAGACCTTGAAAAAGGAATTGGTGTGAATGAAACTGGAAAAATATGAGTCGGTGTTTAACTTTTACTGAACTCCACCTTTAAATATAGCAATGAATGGAGTGACAAGATCGGAGGATAAATCATACCGTGGTGTCATCTGCAAAAAGAGGGATTTGATAATCTGACGACAGAGAGTGCTGCTGCAACGGCTGGTGCTCGGAGACATGCAGATGATTTCACTCCTCCCTTTCTTTCCACCTTCTTTGCTCGGCACCTTTATTTAACATTTGTACTGTTTTGGTGATCTTGTGGCGAGCTGGAAGTCGTCTGGTCGTTATGGTGGAACTGGACTAAAGGACTGTCTTTTTGCTGGATTCTGCAACTGCCGAGATTTCTACCTCCGGAATTCTATTGGGTGTATGTGTTTGTCTGATTGTGAGTGCGTGTATGTGTATTAGTGTTTGGCAGTGTGTGGATGTGATTTGTCTGCCTTGATGTGTTCATAATTATTTCTGTTCTTTTCTGTTCATAATTATTTGTTCTTGCGGTTGTCTTTTACTTTCCATTTTTTTCCAATGTCTGGCACTTCTGACCGGAATTTCACCTTGTGCTGTCCATGTCTGCCGTGCTCTCGGCCTTGGGGTTAACCCTTAGTGTGCCACAGGCGAGATGAGTGACAGCTCGGGAACCGTGAACAACTCGGGGGCTATGGTACTGGAGGAGCCCGATGGGAGAGGCGGCTCTGGTGGACGTGAACAAGCCCAGGCCCCTGTGCGTGGTGGCATTTTAAGGTGTGGGAGCTGTGCCCTTTGGCCCCGCCAACAGACCTGGCTCTGTGTGGTTCCGCTTCTCATTGGCTTCATAGGCCTGGGGCTCAGTCTCATGCTGCTGAAATGGATCGTAGTGGGTTCTGTGCGGGACTATGTGCCCACAGACTTGGTGGACGCCAAGGGTATTGGCCAGGACCCCATCTTTCTGTCTAAGCCTAGCACTTTTCCTAAGGGATCTGACACCACCACCACTACAACCACTATTGGTGGTGTCAGCTCGGTCAGCCCCACCGTCACCTCAGTGGTGCGGAGCAGGACTCGAACGGGAACTCCTCCAAACATTCCTCCTAGAGGCAGCGGGGCATCCGGCAGTCAGGTGACACAGAAGAGCCCCTCTACTCGCTTTGTCACACGTAATCCCACCTTTACGACCACCGTGGTCTCTACCACCACATCTACTGTCCATATGTCCACATCCAGCCCCTCTCCCTCCAACCCAGCAGTCCTAAACGACTCCACCCAAATGTGGACCAGAGAGCAGTCATCCGAGAGGCATGTGACCACGCCTGGTCGAACCCATGTCAGCCGCAAGACACGTAAGTTTGATACTTTATTATCAGTTCTTCCTGGTTTTGCTATGGCAAGAGCTGTGCAGTTCTACTGCTGTTGTGGAGTATTGGTGATCAGACAGTTTTTGTTGACTTGCTTTGCAGATTGCAGTTTTGCATGGTACTGTTAGCACATGTTAGTATATTGTGTTAATGACATCCCAGAAGCGAAGCATGACAGACTCGTGGCCGCATACAGTCCCGTCTATCATGTCGCCAGGGAGCGGCAGAAACACTAATGATAAGCAGCGACTCTGGCCACTCCCTGTGTTTCAAAATGTGATATATTGAATAAAAAAATATGAAGAGAATTTCAGTGGTATAATAGTGTAAAAAAGGTTTGTTTCTTATTTGATAATTTTTCACTGGCTGCAGCACATGAAAAAGCTTGTATCAGGATGTCAGTTACTGTAGGGAACCTCACAATATGTTTTCTTTAGCACTGCGTTTGCTGATTCTATCTTTATATTGGGTTGCATGAAGAGCTGCGACCAATGGGTCTAATGATGGAGCTATACTTTGCTTAAATGTATAGAATTGACAAATATTAAACGGTTGTTCATTTGAAAACAACAGGAGCCTCTGAAAATAAGAAAACTGTATTGTGTGCTAATGTTACATCTCAGTGTAATTTATCAGTGACATTTACATTTTATTTGAACGCAGAAATTGATTAATGCGTCGTCATGCCTGAATGCTCGCACCTGCTCACAGTATATTACCTGACACCAAGATATGCTGTCCATATGTGATTGCGCTGTGGGATTATAGTGGCTAAACTCTAGTCATCAGAATGCCCAGATATAGATGGATTCACAATTAATGATCACATTCATTTGCATGCAGTGGACAGCCTGTTCACAGTGACATTTAGGTAGTTTTACTTGTCATAAGGATTACAATGACTCTTTTTCCACTGTCAGGCCAAACCATTTTCTTTGCTTAAACCATTCCATTCTGTGCCGATCCGGGCCAGCCAGCACGGATTTGATTTAATTTTCCACTGTGGGGCTGATAACGGAGATCTTTAGTATGTAATATAAATGTGCCAGTCGTTGCCTTTGTAACGCAAGAGTTTACAGACAATATAAGATGTAAATGGCAACCATCGAACCATGTTAATAGAAGATGATTGGATATTTTATTGTTAATTTGTGTTTATGTCACTCAAATTGTGCGCTTAGCCAGCTACAGAGAAACTGGTAGCCAGGCAAAAGACAAGTGACGAATCCCGAGCTGCGACATCACTACACCCATTCTACTAGCAAGGTTCAGGGCGGTTAGCCAACTGTGCCGAGAATTTCTGGGCTGAGAACGGTTTGTGATCGCGCCGTGCCGTACCTGGCTCAAGTGGAAATACAACTGGAACCGTTCTTTACCGTTCTTAGAACCATTCGTCCCGACGATGGTAAAGTGGCTTTTGTATTAGGAGTTTTTGTTGTAGTGCTGTGAATATCGTAATAGAATTTGAAGACCTTTCTTTGAATTCAGATGTTACTATTGGATCATGGTGTTGGGTAGTAAGAGGTTGTCATGCCTCACCAATCTATGAGATTACTTTACTCTCCGTGCTTAATCCAGATTAATTTACCTTCATTCATGAAATCTGCCACTGTAACTATAGCTAGTCTTTAGGAAATTTACATTGTAGTTATGTTGGAAAAGTCGCTCTGTATTTTCATCTGGGCGTTTACAAGGAATTTAAGTCTATAGAGCATAAACTATACATTTAAGATACCAGCCCCCAGCCCCCTTTAGCCTCTGCCGTCTCACTGAATGAATTAATTCATGGAAAAGTTGCTTGAACTTTATCTCCAGAGCTGCTCTGAGAGTCACTTCATGAGCATTTTACCGTTTCATTCGAGAAAAACTATCATAAACGCACAGAAACTAAAAGGTCTTCACGGCAACCCGTCAAAATACAAGTTCGGCTTAACTTTGTGACCGAAATTGTGACAGAAATATAGAATTTAGCTATGTCTCAATGTTATAATAATACTAACACTAATAATAATTTTGTCAACTTTATTTTTTTAAATAAGTTTATTTTAAATTTCATATGATTAAAATATAAATTAAATTAATGTTCATTTGATTGCCCAAAAATTTAAATGCACACTTCTTGATTATTCAAATTTAATTGAACCATTAAAAATGGAATCCAGAAAACTTAAAACAGAAAACACAGAATTTGGAAAAAATAAAACTGAATTTGAGGGGGGAAAAGTATTTCATTGGGCCCTAAAAACTTTTGTTAAACTTTTAATAAAGTGTTGTTAAATTGTAGGTGTTTCATGATTTCAATTAATTAGACACTCCATTTTAATGGTTAAATTAAAATTTAGCAATCAAAAAGCATAATGAAGTAAATGTCAGAAGTAAAGTATAATGGAGAAATGAATATTTTCTTGCACATATAAAAATATATGCTTAAATATGTTGCTGAAAAACAACAACAACTTACTTGACCCTTGTTTTTAAATGCTTTTTCTCTGTATATAGTAATGTAGACCCCCTCTATTCACAGTAATCAAAAAGAACCTGTGAATTTTAGGAGGTGTCATAAGTCTTTGAACAAGTCCTTATCATATACTTTGGTTGTCTAGGAATTCATTACCATTTCAGTTGTCTGACAGAGGATATCTTAATCCTTTGTGTCCCCTAGCAACCCTTGCCTACCTTTATCAATAGCACAGAGAAAAGGATAACTAAAACTTTTGTGATCCAAATACGTTTGAGAGCTCACAGCTGTGGCTTATCTTAAAACTCATTAGTGCTCGCCATACTTGATATTACAGCTAGAAACAGATATTTCAGTGACTTTCCAGATGAAGAGACCATTTTGTTTTCCTGGAATAATTGTCAGATTGGCTGTGATGAATTGAGTGGCCTGTGATTTAGTTTAATGAATCTGTTAGTTATGTTTGGTTGAGGACATGGAACTTCTGTTGTTGCTGTCATGTATCTTTTAGCAGCTAATACAATGAGCATAGGTAGTTAGAGATTAATGCAAATTTGCAATGAGTGCTGGGGGCACTTTACGATGAACTAACCATATAAAAGCCATATCTCAATGTGATTGATTATGAAGCCGAATCAATTGTAACATTAAATAAAAACAGCTTTGGTTGAAACTGGCTGACACGATTCCTGGTTCCAGCTGACTGCCATTTAATGACCATTGATTCTTCCTTTGTTTTGTAACATCAAGCTGATTGCGAGGATTAGTTCATGTCATCTAGCACACTGTATTGGGCATTTACTACACTGTCACACTATTTGGTCTCAAAATACAAATGAGAGTGGAATCATTTGATGATTCTGACATTAAATCAATGCTGTGTTAAATGACAAAATCATTCAGAATTTATGTTTGAAGATGAGGTGATTTATTTGCCTTGTCTATTTCCTGTTTTAATAGAAAGCCATAAAAGCGCTCCCTTCCTGTACCATTAGAGCTTAATTTCACTCAGACTATTTAAAAAAAAAATGTCACTTTGATTTATCTTTTTAAGATTTCCTAAAGGAGGGATGAAGCTTTAAATATTAATGCTTAGAAAGGGAAACATGTTCAATATGTAGAAGAGCATGTGAATAATTGACAAGGGTATGCTGAAAAATTATCAGGGAAAGGGATGAGAAATGTGCAGGGTTTTATAAATAGAGGTGGAGGAGAAGACGATAAAAACAGGCAGTGGTGACTGCTCCGCCCTGTTATGAATGCCTGTGTGGCCGTGCACATTTTACTTTCACTTTAAAATTAGCCTGCAATTGCTTAAATCGTGTGTTCATTATTATTATTCCTAATGAAAAACACAACAACTAGAAAAACACAACTAACCCTTTGCAGGTTCCCTATTAGCATGGGTTTAAATCCAAAATATTGCAAAATGGGTGCTTTTACATTTCGCTTTGAAACCAAATCTTCCGCCATCGTCAGCTCCTTGTGATGCCTAAGATGAACTATTCTGACTACATCAGGTAAACCCAGATGCCTAAGACTAGAAAGACTAGTATTCTGACCGCATAAGATGCTTAAGAATAATAGCTTCTCTGACTACGTCGGTAACCACAGACGCCTATGCATCATTAGTTATGATTAATTAAAAATCTCATTTACAGGGTGAGTGGTCCATTTATGTTGGTCAATGGCTACGTTTACATACAACCAAATAATCTGTTAGTTATCGGATTGATGGCTCAATTGGACTAAAAAGCCTTCATGTAAACACCTTAAACGATCTGATTGAGCTCGATCCGAATTAAATTTGAATTAAACACTTGATCGGATTGAAAACCGAAACTGAAAGGACTGCGCATATGTGAAATGACGTTAAATTGGGTAATCTAATGACGCACGATGCACGGAACGAGCTGTTCTTACTGTTGAATAAAGTGTCAAATGAGTGTCCCGTCATTCTAAAATTCTCCTTTCACTCCGAGTCTGTGAAGTGGAGCAGGACATCTCTCATCCACAGACGGCATTTTTACTGCGTGATAAATATAAGCAACACGGCACAACTGTTCATATGCTCATTTACTCCAAATTATGGCCAGAAATGGATACATATTAAGTCTGCTGTTTAAAACAAATAAAGAACCAATGTAGGAGAATAGTTAGTATGCGCAAACAGCGGGAAACTCTGTATATTTGTGCAGTGTCCGCATGTCAAAAAATCTATTCCGATTTAAAGCTTGTGGCATATAAACGCACACATCAACCCGATCACATGGTTAGCGTTCATGTAAACTACATTCAGATTCATCAATCGGAATGAATTCCATCTGATTGAAACAAAAGTTGTGCATGCAAACATAGCCATTGATTTTAATGAGCTTGAACCCTTGATATTTTATTTAGGTGATTTAATAGTGCCATAAATCGATCAATTTCTTAGTCTGTTTAACGGCCTTCTATTTTTCAAGCTTGCAATGTAACCTTATTTCTTCCAATGATTAAGAGTCTAAATGTTCTAGATACTATGGAAATGAATGTCATTAACAGCCATTTGACCACTTTGTTCAAAACTTTTTTCCCTTTTGCAGTTTTAAGTTGAAATTAGCATAAAAAATGTTGACAGCTGACATTTCTGAATGAGGGATGCCTTTTAGAAAATAACAGTAGCGATAA